AAACCTCTCCAAAAAAAAAAAAAAAGAAGAAGAAGATAGGTCTCCTGTTCCAACCACAATAAAGTAAATCAATAAGCTCATAAATAGTCAAATAAAACGTGGGTCGAGAGAGCAATGGGGAAATGAGTTTTGAAGTTAATTGCCAACCAACTCGTGTCAGAGCAGCTGAGGGCACAGCTGGACGAGGTGGCTGGGGAAGGGCCCCTGAGGAGGGCTCTGGCAGGTGCCCTGAGGTGCAAATGATGCAGCCTGGCCAGGCGATGGGGCCGGGTGCAGAGCCTGTGGTGGCCTCTCTGTGACAGGGGCCTGGAGCAGTCAGAGACAGAATCTAGACCAGAGGGGTCCGAGGGAGTGCCAGCCAAGGTGCCTGCAGGGGACCCCATCGATCAGACCTCAGCTTTGGAGGTGGGGGCAGAGCCGCGCCATCTGGAGATCTGGGGAAACCAAGGCTGGCTGGGCCATGGGATGAGGGCTGTTGGCAAAGTTCTGGGGGTCTTAGGGCTGTGATGTGTCAGCAGCAGTGGGAACGAAAGCAAGACAGGCATGGAGAGGAACCGACTTGGAAATCGGGTTTGCTCCCTCGGCAAGCGGGTGCTACTGCAGTCAGGAAGTGTGGGGAGAAGGGCTGAGGCCTGGCTCCAGGAGCAGCCGTCTCTTCCCTGGTGAGCATGGGACCCAGAAGGCAGAACGGCACAGGCGGCCAGCACAGCTTCCCTAGAACAAGCTTCCTCGTACAGTGTGGACGTGCCTGCAGACAGCAGCCGAGTTCCTGTGGGACACCTGACTCAGCTGCTCTGTCCCGGGCCCTGGCCTGAGCAGGCATAGGTCATACAGCAGAACGCACGCCTCGGGCTTCCTCCCGCTATGCCTGGCCTCGTGGTCAGGAGCACGTAGAAACTGTGCCCTTACGGGGAAAGTGGGGAACAGAGAAAGAGAGCCAGGGGTACAGAGTGTCCCCTTCCTGAAGGGACAAGTCCCCAAGGGCCACAGCTCTGGGAAAGGAGGCTGACCTGTGTGGTCCCCACAGGAAGAAGGGGCTCTGATCATCGAGGGGCTCCTCAACATCGCCTGGGGACTCAGGCGGCCCATCCGGCTCCAGATGCAGGACGACCGAGAGCGAGTGCACCTCCCCTCGGCTTCATGGACGCCCCGACAGCCCAGCTGCCTCCCGTGAGTGCCGGCCACCCAGTGACCTCCATGACACCTGCCTGACCCGAGCTCTACTGTTTGGGGCATATGCGTGTGTGCACAGGGGGTGTCCCCAGCCTCAGAGTGGAAGCCTGGCTCCCATAGGTGGCACAAACTCGAGAGCGTATCACAGCCTCACCATCTTCCAGCGGCTGTCCTGGCAGGCCCCCTGCCCCTTGCACAGGCTCGCCTGGGGTGGTCATTCTACACCACAGCCACGTGGCCCCTCCCAACCACCTGGGCATTCCGGGCTCCCACTACCAGCTCCAACATTCCCAGGAGCCACCTTGTTGGCAAAAAGAGAGGGCTGCAGCCCGGGGGTCCCCACCACAGCTACAAGCTGGTCATTCTCGGCATCTCCTGTTCTGGCTTTAGAATTCCCACAAATTCAGCCTCCTGCTTCCCTGCTCTTCCTGTAATGTCAGAATTTGTTTTTGTCGATTTATCAGAATGTAAGATCGGATTTAGTTACCGAAGAATGTAGAAACAGGTTCCTACCTTCCTACGGGGTCATGGCTGTTTACCTCCTCTGCCCTTGCCCCAAGGGGCAGCTGGGGACCGAGCCTTGTTGTTTCTGAATGGAGTAACTCCTCTGAGAGGCAAACCCCAGACCACTGCCCCGTTCACAGCACCCTGCCCCAGTTACCCCGGCTCGCTGAGCAAACTGATCCACACAGAGGCAGAGCCTGAAGTCGTACTCCGCAGGACAGCTGCACGTGGGGCTCTCGTTCCCTTCCCCGAGGTGCAGCCCAGGCTCTGCGCTCTGTTCCCCAGGCCCCGCCTGTCTGCTCCCCAGCTCCCCAGCACCTCACAGCTATGTCTCACCACACCTGTGCCGTCTCCAGCCCGGCACCAGCCGCCCTGGCCTGAGACACTGTCCTGCCGACTGGAGGTTGACCCCTCCAAGGCTGCCCTACTGACTCCTCCCCAGCAAACCCACTTGGCAGACACTGTGCAGACGCGGCCCGGGTAAGCCTGGTCCCAGGA